GGGCCCCCCCCCCCCAACACACCGCCAGCCTGCGCGGCAAAAAAACTGCACTGTCCTGAGCAGTGCCAAGTCAAGGGCCAATCTCGGGGGACATGTGCCCCCCCTCCCCCATACCCATCGCCTGTGCTGTATACCCATTCACCACCCCACCTTCTCTTACTCAGGAAGCTGGCATAAGCCATGCCAGGTAACATGTACCCCTGCTCATTAAGAGGGTCTGCTGGTATAGCTAGATTTGGTGCAATGTTAAAGTGTGGACAAGACCACTATGTGGTAATTTCTCTTCACAGACTAACGTTACCATACCTGGACAGACTGACAATGTGCATCAACAGCGGGATTACAGCTCTAACCTGCCTTCTGTTGTCAAATGGCCCAGTTACCTCATTACCTATACAACAGACTCATATAGTCATTTTATTCCCTTAATTCAGTTGTTCTCAACCTTTTCAGACTTGAGGCACCTCTCAGTAAATGCCCACACTTAGTTCACTTGTTTTTTTCCAACTTAAAAGCTGAAGGGCAAATAGCAAAACTGATGCTGGAAGAAACATCAATGAAAACTGATTACCCATTTGTCCTCTGCCTGCCTCTAGATCCAAGTGGGTGTTTCCTCACAAGGACTATGGTTTACTGACACTATTACGTAGTATCACTAGATAATGAGGGCAGCCATCTTTTTCCCCTTTTTCTCTCCTCCCCTCCATAACATCTTTATAAAATTACATAAAGTGCATATTCAGGCAATTTGCACCCTCGGGACACAACTGGGAGCAACAGGGTTTCCAGAGTGAAGAGTGACAGTTGGTAAATCAAGGTAGCTAAATCAAGACCTAGGTCAGTCTAAAGTGAATGGCCTTAACTAACACAACCTCTCAACAGCCAAACGTGCACAGCAGCATCAGGTCTCAGGTTATGTCTACATCACAGAAGCAGAGTGCTCATTTGTTCCACTGAGAAAATAAGATCTGTTATGCTCCCTTGGTTTGCACATCTCAACCCTGGGGTGGTGGCATGGAGGTGGGTAGGAGGAAAGGGGCGCTCTTCCTTCAAAGGCTGCCTCAAGCAGGTACTCAAACATTACAGAACCCAGGTTTTAAACTTGGTGCCAAGACTATCCCCAGGGTATCCGCAGTGCCTCATGTCTGGAGTTGGTGTATGCACATCAGGAGTGGCTGGGTGGGACTTATTTCCTTGCTGGCATGGTCGACCAATTAGTCTGTGCTATAGACATGCCTGTAGAAATCAAGACAGGTATGAGGTCCTGTTCAAAGGCTGAGTCCTCACAGCTGACTTTCTTTCTCTCTCCACTCACCCTATCCCTTAAGGCTAAACATAGGTTGAAATTTGACAACCAGCTGTCTTCTTGATAAGCCACTTGTTGTCCCTTCCCCCCTTTTTTTTGCTTGATATAAAAAAAATACATTAAAGTATGCTGTCAAAATCAAAAGTAGCTTGCAACAACTCCAAATACCAGTTTATAGTCATTTGTGTCTGTAATTGCTTCTTGACTAGAAGTTTGTTTCGCAAACTCCCATTCACGGAAGATACAAAATTAACTCTTTCCTGAAGTCAATGAACAAATGCAATTAAGTCAGGTCAAACCTGAAGAGATGCAATAATGCAACACACTCTGATTGTGGTAGGATTTAAAAACTACTCAGAACTTGCATGTAGTGTCCATGGGAGGCATTAGATCTATCCTTCTGACAGTTGCACCAGCTTCATATTTACTTTTGAGCAGTTGTGCCATGAAGTCATTTGTGGCACTCAAACCAACAGCC